GTGATTTATGATTTTTAATGAGAGAGAGAGAGAGATATCCCCCTTTTTTTAAAGCTTAAAGTTGTGTTTGTACATTTAAGTTTCCTTACTATTTGAAACCATTTTCATGTATGACTGTTGCTGGCCATGCCTGTTTATACCTCTGTCCTAGTCAAACATTTCAACAATAATGCTTGCAATGACCATGCATACGCCTTCACATGATCATTTGACTCTGCATTGTGATATCCATGGTCGTCATATTAAGTTCTCATCTACATTCTCATGTTTTGAACATTTATATATTTTAAGCGTACACATGCTCTAACACTTCAACCTAACATGTTGCTTCCTTGTGTTGTGTATGGATCCTTTGTGTGCGTGTGAATGTCTTAAATGCCTGGCTGTGTTTGCATGTACACGTGAATCTGTGGGTGATTTTAGATGACCTTTGGGGACGCCATGAGGAATAAAGCGAGACTTTCCGTCACTGGGAGTACTGGGGAGAATGGTCGGGTGATGACTCCAGAGTTTCCTAAAGCTGTCCACGCTGTCCCGTACCCGAGACCTGACATGGGACTAAACGTCAGCCTGACAGATCTGTCCTGATCGATGAGAAACTTCTGAGTGCCTTACAATGGTTTCATTAGAGTGATCTTTTTCATGAGCCCTGCCCTCCCTCCTTCTTTTCTGGCGTTTTTTTTCTGTCTCTGTCTGCTGAAAAGGGAAAGATCGGAGATGGAGGCTGCGTTTTGTCACACACAAAGACTTGTATTGTTGCTCTCCGTCTCCATTTCTCGCCGTCTTAAACGCCTCCTTCTCTGGATGGAATTACATCTGGGAACAAAAGGGGAGGCTCTTTTTTCTATACTGATGACACCATGCTTTTCCAATCCATCTGTCTGGACTGGACTGAGACCGAAACGAGGGCTTGATTGACGGCAACGGCTGCTTCTGGGAGTTTCTGTCATCTTAACTGTCTGTGTGTGTCTGTGTGGGTTTGTGTGTGTGTGTGTGTGTGTGAAGAGCTTGAATGTGTGCGTGCATATCACAGAAAGATGTCGTCAAAAAAACACACCGTTTTCTGTAGCCACCTCCGCCAAACAGAGTTTCAAGCACACTTGATATCATCTGCATTAAGATGTGAAATTGTCATTTTTTTTCTAAGAAAATAAGAAAAAAAAGTTCATTGAAAAAATATTTTTATGTATTTTCACAAAATAGCTTTTAAATAAACTTGCTTACATACCAGTGGGATATCAACATCTTGATGTGATGAAGAGAGAAAATACTCAACAGCTTCTAGTTCCATATTTTTAAAGCCAAATACATCGCATATGGGGTGAGATGTTGAAATCATGTAATTAATTCCTATTCTAAACTTTCCTGTATATTTTATTCTTTAACATTTTGGTGTTGATATGAAATATATGTCAATGCTTGACATTTGGACTCAAACTTCTATGTTTTCTTGTTAGCGTCGGTGCAGCGATTTCTGCTTTCTTTTGTTCCTCTTTCTTTTGCTTTTCGGTGCATTTGTTGTTTTTCTGACAAGGACCAGGGTTTGTTCTACTCTCAAGACGAAATTAATCTGTTTACACGCCATGAATGCAAAACAGAAAAAAAAAAAAAAGAAAAAAAAAAAGTGTGGTACGGTTTTATTGCATCACATTTTGGAGTGATGTGGAAAAGAGGCATCGTCATCCACATGGTTTACATGGTGGTACAAAAATGCCAAATAAGACAGAGTGCCAAATCCTAGTGCCAGTAGATATAAATAGAGTCTTAATATAATCGATCACTGTCATCTCAGTGAATGTAAATGATACATTCTGTAACTTTTGTAACTAGATGTACAGTTGGTGGCAATGACAGTGCTAATACAATAGCCTTTTTTTCGCTTTGTTTTCCAGTCTCCATGTATTTCGCATTGATCTGACAATGAAGTAGCACCAGTTGCATGTTGTTGCCGCAGATACTACACAACGTTTATTTCATTACTGCCGAACATGCGTTTTCATTTTAATGTTGAAGTTGTGAGGTTAACTGTTTGAAAATTGAAAATACAATGTTAGACATATATATATACGATATATACATATATACATATATTTTATATAAAAAGTTGAAATATGAAAAATAAAAGCCCCTTTCATGACTGAGTCAGAGCTACACTGGTTCCATTGAATTCTGAATCTGGTCTTATTTTTTTTTTTTAAGTCGTGCAGTCTGAGTCTACCATAAGTTACTTCCAAGACTTATGCAGACACGCACGGCTAATTATGGAACTCTTTTTACTTCACTTTATTTACTGAAATTGACCAATTAAGGGGGCAAGGGGAGGTCACTGTACGATTATTATCACTGTTGTTTTTGTACTCAAAAGATAGAAACATATACCGTAGTTGCTTATCAGTTTCATCGCGTATTCAGGCTATTCTCACTGACATTTTGTATATGGAATGTGTGCTAACTTGTTTATTTTTTGGGACTCTTTATAAATAAAAGTGGCTGATCTCTTGCTGCCTCTCAGTGTCTGATATTCATTTAGAAAGAGCAGCTGTTGACGAGGCCTCCGAGAACAAATGATGTGACTTTATTTGTTTAAAAATGTTTAAAACTCAAACGTGCTTTTTAGTTTATAACTGTTTGAACCTGAGCTGTGTTGTGCTGTAGCTATCCTTACTATGAGAGCATGTGCGACTAGCTGCTTGATTGTCATCCCTCAGACTCTCCTGTTAAGTGCCCTGCAACCCTCAAGTGGTTTCAGTTACTCCTGGTGATTAGACTCTTGTTCAGGTTGAAGCTAGGTGAAGCTATGGCAGGCGTCACGGCTGATACCTACACTGTTTTCCATGCTGTGTACAGAGGGCCGATCGTAGCCCGGATAGCTCTTGCTGACCGGTCGGATGGATTTCTGGCATGCTCAAAATTTAACTTGGCCTACAGCTTCAACACAGTGAAAGCAGAGCCTTTGCTAAAGAGCAAGCAGCGCCTGAAATCACCATGACAACAAAGATAGCTGACCTCCAATTCTCTCTGAAAATGAACAAATTGTATAGTACTTATGTCCCAAACCACGTGCATGTCCATATACTCCTGATCCCCCCCCCTTCTTTTAGTTTCAGCACACAGTAGGCTATGCCACAGATCACTAAGGCAACCAAATTCTGCCTCATGAGCATTGCAGCTACAGTACCATCCGTCTACTTGTTAGCAAAACAACAACTTCAACTTCAGTCTGTGGGAGCTTCAAGTGAATTTTAATCACAATTGGCAATGCTCTTTCAAGCAAATTTAACAAGTAGCTCTCAGGTAGTGCTTGACAATCCTACCGTACGGTTTGAGCACGTAATTCGCTGTCTGCCGTAAATGATTGGCATCCATGACAACATTTTTTTCAAGATTTAATTTTGGGCTTCATGCCACATTGGACAGAGTTATAAAGCTGGGAAGAGAGGAGGGTTCAAATGACATGCGGGAAACCCAAGCTACCCGCTTCCAGGACTTTAGCCTCTGCACGTGTGGCATGCAAACAAACTGCTAAGCCTGCAGCGCCCCATCAAGATGTTTTTACACACAGTGCACGCCCGACTTCAGGTGAAAAGCAAAGTAACACTTCCATGTACTCATTAACTGCTTTAGCTTGCAATCTGAACAATAACAGCTAACAAGCATGAGCCAGCATTTTAGTCCGTCACAATATCTCATAGAGTACCTTTCTACCTTCTTTTCTTGACTGTTCTGTGCATGTCTCTGTTTAACTTTGCACAGCATTGCAGACTTTTCACCCAATAGAGATCTTAATAAAGAGGGGGAAGTGAACCCTCAAAGCTAACAAGCCTGCTAGCTCGTTTTGCTATTTAAAATCTGATTATTATTTCTTTTACACAATGCCACTATGGTCACTCAGCACTTATCCAAAGGAGCAGAAAAAAGACTCACAGTTATGTGTTTAAAGCAGGATAGTGATGAGGTGCGTAGAGGCCATCTTCCTTCTGCTGCTGCCGGTAATGAAGGTCACACGTCTCCATAAAGATGGTTGACTTCCCTCTGCTCCATAAAGATAACCCCTCGTCTCTCCCAATTAAGCCATGTGCTCCTCTACAGTTCTTTGAAATTCAATTTCCTCCACACCATCAGTTAATTACATCATTATTGAATCATTAAAGTCATGTTTGGCCACAATCGCTGCGTATCATAAGTGGACTGTCAGCCAGGGACAGCCGGTTTATAAAATGACTAAATGGAAACTGGGTGACATATTGACTACAGCTTCAGCACTGGCTTAGTTATTGGAAAGTTCCTCCATGAAGAACTAAAAAATATCTATAGTTTGTGTTTTCAGGTCAAGAGTTGGATGGCCGATCATTTGTTTTTATGTTTTCCACATAAATAGATTCTTGGAAATGCAGAAAGAGTGTTTCGACTCCAGCAGTCTACTTGCCTATTAAATGACTGTTGAACTAAATTGCCCCTCTGGGATTAATAAAGTCGTCTGAATCTGAATAAGTTATACAGTAGCTTCACTTTGACTCACTTCAGTGGTACGAGCCCGGAAAAAAACAAATAAATTTTCTTGTGATTAACTTGCAATTCACGGGGAACCAGTTTGCTGAAATAACACAATTATGATGCAGATTTGTAGAAAAATAAAGATGCAAGCTTCGTCATGTATCTCCCCAAGAGGAGGAGAAAACACATTTTTAAAAAGCCTGTTTGTTAAATGGGGGTCAGATCGATGAATTCTGATGCTGATGTTTCAGGTACGCTGATTGGCTTTCATGACGCGGCGTGAGCAGATTTGTGGCTGAAGTTGAAATGTTTGATCTATAATGGATGTGAGCTGCACTTTTATCCAGATATCTGTTTATAGAAGTCAATAAATCATTGTTAGATCACCGCTGATTGGATCTGGTATACATCCTTATCTCGGATAACCTTCCACCTTGCTTTTTGCTCTCCAAACTAACCGTTTCTCCTGCATACACCAAAGCCAGCTGATGTGTAATTGGTCAGTGAATGGTAAATGGACTTGAGCAATTTCGGTTTAGTGTCTTGCCTGAGGACACATCGGACAGGTTGCTGCAGGAGCTGGGGATCGAACCCTCGACCTTCCTGATAAGAAACGACGATTCTCCCAACTGAGCCACAGCTTGGACTACAAATGGAAACCAGAACACTTCCCATGCTGACAATCCAGACCCCAGTGTACCCTTCTATGTAGAAGCTCTCCATCACAAGCCTCAAACAGGCCCCCACTCCCCCATTACAAATTCTGTTTTAAGTCACGTCAAATTCGTTCTATGATGTAAAAATACATCGTTTTGGCAACATAAACAGGGGTTTACTCTCATTGTTGAGTTTATCCCTGTGCGTCTTACTTTGATAATTTTCCCTTGCCTACATTACACTGCAGGCTGTGCATATGTGAAGCGGTGACTCATGGGATATTAGTCGATATCTTGAAGAGAGGGTGAACACAAACACTTTGACTTTCCACAAAAGACACTCCTAGCTCCAGGCAGAAAAGATACTCCACTCCCCCACAGACTGCACCTACTACTCCTCTCACATATCCTGATGTAAACGAGATGAGCTGCTCGCCATCTGGAGCTGAATCAGATCAGATGGAATATGGTTACGGGACACATCTGGTCAGCTCACATATACTGTACTGATTAGTCAGGGGTTTTGCTAGGTGGAGGGCTCTTTGGATCCGATTTAGCTCGCATTTCCAAAGTTTCGGTGTATCTTCTTGTTGTCAAACATTTTGGATAAAACATGGGTGAAGTTTTGTTGTTATATCTGCAGCAGAAAAAAAGCTTGATGCCTTTTAAACAATATACGTAAGTGTGTTGGATGTTTTAACGCCCATGTTTATTTACAGATTTTATGTAACTATTTCTTGGTCGGTTAAATTAAAATTTTAATTCAGACTAGTCTAAAGGTAAGAAGACACACAAAAATGTATTTAAAAATGTCAGTAGGTGAACAATGCAACTTGGTTTGCCAAGTGTGGCTAATGCTAGCAGTGCTAACACCGCCAACATTGGGTCCCCCCTGCAAGTTACCATCCTCATGCCTGGGCTAAATCTGGTAACGCATTCAATATGCCAGTTTTACCTGACACAGCCTACATACATTTTTGACTAAATTGTATAGATGAAAATACTGCCAAACCATGCTGTTTCTACAAGAAAACATCCTTTTACTGAGCTTGTTTACATGCAAAATGTAAAAGAGCCGGATGGGCTGTCCTGTAACGGGAGCTACAGCTAGTCTATGGCTACAACCCCGGCTAGTGACAGGTGGCTGAATTGCAGTATCCGTATAATATTTGCCCAGCATCAAGAGGCAACATACAAAAATATTTATAATTGTTTTACAGTGACATCATTCTGGTGCCGACCAGCAAGAGTGACAAGGTTTAACCGTTTAGTCTACTACACAGACACACTCATAGTTTATAGGTTGTCAAAGCCTACATAAACTGTATCCAAGAGTATTTGTGTCAATTGGGTAATTTATAAAAAATATTTATGATACTAGGATGCCATTTAGCCCCATTGTAAGTCACCAGCATTCATCACAACATGTCAGTATAAAAACAGATAAAGCGTATTTTCTACTTATCCACTGATATATTTCGGCATTTCTGTAGTTCTACTTACTTTTAAAAGGAACTTGCAAATTATTTCCAAATTCTAAAAAGTGATTAGCCAGGATATGGACCCATTTAATATGATTAACATTAAATGAGAAAAGCAGGTGGATTTTGGAAGATTTCAGTATGTGAGAGTTTCAGTCGCTCTAAAGATTAAAGGTGTTCAAGAGTTAATCCTTCCCTTTGTACGTCTTCTTGATCCTCATCCCTTTAATGACGGAGGGATTGAGTTGAGAAATGAGATAGCAGCTTGAAAGCTATATATCACAAAACATGTCTGTGTATAAAACAGAATTATGTACACATTTCAAACACTAACTGGTGGATACACATATAAAAATCTCTTATTATTTCAGATTTATACCTCCCGTGTTGTTGCACTGAATAATTTACAAGTTATTTTTCTGTTTAGGAGCCATACTGCATGGCTGCTTGACTATCAGCTGAAAAAAGAGATGCATATAACCTCAATCAGCTTTCCTTGGGGTGCAACTCTTTGTAGTTTTAGCCTTTAAATGAAGACCATGAATTGTTAAGGGTTAGAACTGACCCATGGCTACACTGTAAACATTTTTGTCTTTAAGTAGCATTGCTGCAGCTTGAAGGTTTTAGCTGTTTATAAGTGAAGATCCATCCATTTTCTTCCGCTTATCCGAGGTTGGCAGCAAGCGCAGAAAGTCAACCCAGACTTCCCTCTGCCCAGCAAGATTTTCCAGCTCCTCCTGGGGGATTCAGATGCATTCCCAGGCCAGGATATATCATCCCTCCAGCGAGCTCTGGGTTTACCCTTGGGTCTCCTTCCAGTTGGGCGTGCCCGGAAGACCACCAAAGGGAGGCGTCCAGGAGGCATCCTA